TTGCGGACAACACCACAGCTATGTATTATATAATCAAACAGGGAGGCACAAACTCCCTCACTTTCCCTTCTGTACCTTACAGTGGATCTATAGCAGTGATGGTGAACCTATGGCACATGTGCCACAGCTGGCACGCAAAGGCCTTTCCATGGGCACACAAACCAAAAGTTACTGGAGTGCTACTCCCACCCCCCAGGCAAACCTCAAACTGCACGATTGTAAGCCACGTATCCCTGCTACATTCCTTGATTGTGGCACTTGTAAATCAGTTCTTTTAGAGATCAGAGATAAGGCTGCTTTATTGTTTACTGCTGTAGAGCAGCCCATGGCAGTCAATCTGGCTTGTGAATTACTACTTCCGCTGGAGGTGACTGCAAGCAGGAGGGAAAGCTCCAATTAAGGTCGGAAGGAAGGTGCAAGAGAGCTACGGGTGGATTGCTCAAGCTTGTTTAAATGTAAGGTTGTAGAAAATTGAGTGTGTGTGTGTGTCTGAGAGAGACACTCAAAACGATGAAAAAAGGAACTGATGCAAGCAGGAGGGAAGGCTCCAAAAGATGAGAAGGAAGGTGTGAGAGAGGGACGAGTGCATTCATCAAGCTTGTTTAAATGTAATGAGAGGAGATGAACATACAGAACTGAAGCAACTGATTGTTGAATATTGAGGAAGGGTGTGTGTGTGTGTGAGAGTGAGTGAGTGAGTGAGTGAGTGAGTGAGTGAGTGAGTGAGAGAGAGAGAGAGAGAGAGACTTGACTCTTTCATAAAATCAGGAAGAAAGGAACTTTCCAAAGTTAATCTCCACTGCATTTACATTTGCAGTCTGAAGTGTGTAGCAATTGTGTTTCTCTATTTCACAACCTCAAAGCAGGCAACAGTATTATAGTTTATTCCCAAAAACGGAATCCCAGTATTTCTGCTTCTGGTCCTACTTTGACTGCAGCACCAAACAAAAGGTCTTACAAACAAAGGACTGTGGTTCTTTATTGAGTCAATCCATCTCATGTTCAGTCTTCTTCTTTTCCTAATGCATTGCACTTTTTCCTGCATTGCTGCCTTTTAACATTTGTTAAAGAAGAAAAACATTTTGAGATGTGACAAAAATAGTAAATTACATCATGGCTCACGCTCTTAATTTTTGACAGTTTCAACCAGTTCTCTATGACATTCAGGCACAGTATAATACTTTATTTATGCACAATAATGTCCGGTGGCTGAGCAGAGGATGAGTCCTGGAGAGATTTGTAGCCTGCTTGGATGAAATTAGGCTGTTTATGACTGAAAAGGAGGAAGAATATCACAGCTCACTGATAAGGCCTGGCTTACCAACCTCGTGTTTTTTTACAGATTGTACAGCGCACTTCAATGTACTGAACAAAAAACTGTAAGGTTTAGGGAAAACAGCAGAAAGGATGATTTGTGACATCAGAATACTTGAGAGAAAATTGCAGGTTTTTGAGAGAGACCTCGAAAGTGGGCAGCTGAAATATTTTCCAAATCTAAAAATGCATTTGGAAAATTCTACAAGATTTACGGAGAATCCTACAAGCCAGCAGGAAATCTGCAAGGAATTTTCTAGCATTGTAGTAGCTGCAAAGGAGAATTTTAGGAACAGATTTTTAAAGCTCCGAAAGATGGAGACAACTCAGTGTTTTCTTCTCCAGATAAAGCCAAATTTGAAGAACTTGATATTTCCTGCTTACAGTGGTTAGATTTTGGAAAATCTGGAAATGGAGCTATTGGAATTTCAATAAAACTGTATCTAGAAAAATTCTATGACCTGTGTAAAACACTGGAGAAAATAGAGTGTGAAGGGATGAAAAAGGACAGCACAGCTGGTAGTTCTGAAAATGAAATCATTAAAGTGTGGAATTCTCTGCCAAGTAATTTTAAGTCAAATAAAGCATTTGGGTTTGCTCTTCTTACTTTGTTTTGAGTCATCTTATGCTTGTGAGCAGCTGTTTTCAGCTTTGAATTATATCAAATCTGACACCAGAAACAGACTGACAGATGACGTGGGTACTGCATGTGTTGCTCTGAAACTAATGTTGTATGAGCCAAGGTTTGACAAATTATCAGCATGTATACAATATCAAAACTCACATTAATTGCGCAAAAGCATGCCAAATTGAGTATCCCTTATAAAAAAGTGCATGCATATAATTTTTATAAAACTTTGTATAAATTACCTTGCTTCAAGCTATGTGTACAATGTATTACTTTAATATTTTTTCATTTACCAGAGTTAATAGTTACTTTTCAATAAAAAAGTGTTTGTAGCATTGAAAGTTATGTTATTGTGTTTTTCTTTTAAGACAAAAAGGGTTGATTAGTTCAGACAACTGTATGAGTTGTTTTTTCTAAACTAAAACCTCAGTATTCGGGTTTAATTGCAGTGTTGGCACTTCAAAATAAATAATTTGGTTTTATGTTGCTGTTTGGGCACTCGGGCTCAAAAATGTTTGCCATCATTTATCTATGGGAATGGTGTTGCCTTCATCATGTCTTTTCACAAGCTATTCACATCTCAACGGAGGACAATTACCTGATGGATCATTTAAGTCGACTACCCACTCATAAATACAAATGGACACTGGGCAATCATACTTTTCAAACGATTTGTCGTTGATGGGGATACCCATCAATAGACCTCTTTGCAACGTGGGACAACACCAAATGTCCCAGGTATTGTTCAAGATCAGGCATCAATCCCAAGTCTCTAGGAGATGCCTTCATGATAGACTGGACAGGAGAACTCTTATACATGTTTCCATTAATACCAATGATCCAGAAGACAGTCATCAGAATCGCTCAATGCCAAGCGGATGCAATAATGATTGATCCATGGTGGCCATGCCAACTGTGGTTCACCCACCTAAGGATGATAGTGACAGATATATTACACTTACCGTCGATACTAGATCTCCTCTCCAAGAACAACGGATTGCTTCTCCATCCAGACATTCAATCTCTGAGACTGACAGCGTGAAGAATAACCCTGAGTTCCACAAAATCCTAGATTGGGCTCGAAAGCCCTCCACACAGAAACTCTATGAGAAGAAATGGAAATCTTTAAAAATTTTTACAGATTACAAAAGTTTAAGCCCAAACCCAGTCTCACTTAAAACAATGCTCACCTTCGTTCTTCACTTATTTGATCTTGGACTGTCATATTTAGTTTATATTTCAGCAATCGTGGCACATCAACCACCCCAACTGCCATCAGCAAAACTTTTTTTCCCATCCTACTTTGAAAATATTCATGAAGGGACTTCAAAATATCAGACCCCCCCAACTCAACAAATTATACCTCAATGGTCCCTACAGCTTGTTTTAGATGCTCTAAATCAGTGGTTCTTAACCTTTGTTACTCAGATGTTTTTGAACTGCAACTCCCAGAAACCCCAGCCAGCACAGTTGGTGGTGAAGGCTTCTGGGAGTTGCAGTCCAAAACTCCTGAGTAACCCAAGGTTAAGAACCAGTGCTCTAAATAAATCTCCTTTTGAACCAATGGCTACTTGTAATAATCACATACACAAAAGGAGCCAGTGAACTGTCGGCTCTTTGATCAGATTCTCCATATTTACAATTTCATCCTGACAAGGTTACCATGTACTTTGACATATCATTCCTCCCCAAGGTGGTATCTAACTTCCACATGAATCAACTGCTAATACTACCACCATTGTTTCCATCCCCATTATCGTCTATTGAATGCAAGCGCAACATGCTGGATGTCTGCAGAGCACTAGCCTTTTATATCAAAAAGGACAAGCGACTTCAGGAAATCTCCTAGGTTATTTGTTTGTCATCATGGCCCGAGTAAAGGTGCTCTGGCTTCAGCTCAGACCATATCCCGATGGATATTTCAGACCATATCATTAGCATATGAACTATCAGGCAAGACAGTACCTCAGCAATTAAAAGCACATTCAACAAGAGCAATGTTGACATTGACTGCCCTACATTGTGGAATAGAGATACCAAGCATCTGCTGAGCAGCAGCTTGGTCCAATCTGACAACCTTCATGAAACATTACTGCCTTGATGTCAGGGCAAAGAATGATGCCACATTCATCAGAGCAATCCTGACATCTCTGCTACCGTGATGTCCCACCATCCGGTACGTTTGTTAGTTACCCACTTGTGTGCATTCACCTAGGCCACGAAGAAGGAAGAGAGGTTACCTACCTGTAACCATGGTTCTTCTAGTGGACCTCTGTGAATTCACACATTCCCTCCCTCCCCTCTGTCCATCACATTGTCTAATAATATGAGCATCCTACTTTGACAGCGGCGGACTATAGAATGACCTGAGGGGAAGATCGGAGGGGCGGAGCTTGAACTCCAGGGGGAGTATCTTATTGTCAAATCTTTTTTAGAAGCTCTAGAAACTTCCGAAACTTCCTGCAGAGGCGCAGAAGAAACCCACTCGTGTGAATTCACAGAGGTCCGCTAGAAGAACCATGGTTACAGGTAGGTAACCTCTCTATATGTAGTATAATAATGTATCATTGCTTCGTTCTGCATTTTCTCTAGGAAAAATTCTCTTTTTTTACTAATATGAATTGTTTGGCCATTGTACATTTACTGTGGAAGATCCTCAAGCTTTGCCCTGATCCTTTGCTTGTCCAAATGCAACTCCTGGTTTCAGGAGGCTAAATTTGAAATTAGTATTTCTGTATAATACTTGATAAAGTAATCATTTTAGTATTGTTGTCAATAATAGTTTTAACATTCCAGTCACAATACGCAGTACAATGATATGCAGTATAATGTATTAAATACACTGTAATTGAATTACTGCAAATTGGAAACTGACAAGAGGGACACTGCTTCTAGCATACTATTATATGAAAAGGAGGCAGGTTTGTATTAATAGATGGACATGCTGTTTGGAACCAGGACAGAAGGTCTAACTGGTTTCATCTATGCTACATAGACCTAGCTAGCTGATCAGGAATTTTAAAATGCCTGCTTTAATAGAAGAAATGTTTTCTTGCAGCTGGGTTGAGAATTTTGGACATGACGGTCTTGGATTATTATTGGACATTTTGGAGAGGCTGCTTGAAACAAAACAGTAAGGACTGCTTCCTGTTACAGTTTTCAGTAAGAATAGAATAAGCCTGTATTTATCATCTAAATTTATTGTCTTTGATTTCATGCTTTCAGTCATGACATCATTCTGAAGAAGATCCAGCATAAGATCATACAATGCTTGAAAGCTTTTATGAATAACAAGGTCAGTAAATAATTTGCTTAATTATTTAAGGCTTCAGTCTGATATCTATTGATTTTGGAGTATGCCCCATTAAACTCAGTTGGACATGAATGCACGCACTGATGTTAAGTTACATTGAGGCTTAAGTATAAGGGTTCATTTGATTTATGAGGGAACCAGAATCTAGCAATGGGAAGTGATTTTCTTTAAAACATAAACTATATTTCCAAAGTCAATTTGGATAGTATTTAGAGGCTAAGTACCCTAATCAAAGACAAATTGTTCATTGATATATTCAGGTTTGAAGAATAATATAGATAATTGTAAATTGTACCAATTGGCTATGATAATTGTAACATGAAATGAGTGAAGTAAGCCTTTTGTTTCCATGCCTGCTTTGTGTCATAACTAACACTTGCATAAATGAAGATAATCTGTCTTGGCTGCATATTGCCACTCATTAGTAAGATGCCACTCTAGTTCTGTTCCTGAACATGTACCTGATTACATATTGGGGCATGTGCCTCAGAACAGAATGCCTACCACTTTAATATAACAATTGTGTGCCATCAAATTGAGTCTGACATGGCAACCCCTACCAGGGTTTTCCAGGTAGAGAATACTCAGAAGTGGTTTACCATTCCCTTCATCTGGGGGCACCCGGGGACTATGCAGGTTGGCCAAGACCATACGGGTTGGCTTTACTTATAGGAGACACAGTGGGGAAACCAACTCCCAACCTCTGGCTCCATAGCTAGATATCTAAACCACTGAGTTATCCAGCCAAGTGTCTACCATTTTAAAGCACTGCATTTTGTTGCCAAGCCTTAGAAAAATTTTCCTTATGCAAGCATAAACTGAGAAAAGGATTCTGCTTGTTATTTCCATTTTCTACAAATACTTCAAACTTCAGAGTGTTTTTCTATTTCAACAAATACATATTTTGTTTACCTGGGATAATTTTGTTAGAACTGTCCAGCAGCCTTGGAGTTGTCTGTGATTTCCTGGTTTCTGTTTACTTTATTCTTTTGTTCAGTATGGTTTGGAGAGAATAATGAGTGAACAGAGAAGCTTTTTATTACTGGCTGAAGCAGTTGATCCTAAACAAATTAATATGATGACTGATGTAGTTAAACTTCTTTCTGCAATGTGCATTGTTGGAGATGAAAATGTGTAAGTATATCACATAATACATATGTTTATTTTAAGTGGGAACTTTAAAAAACCCCAAGTAGGTCAGGATTTTAATTGGAAACTACAAGAACCAAAGACTAACATTTAGTTTGAAAATATTAAAAGCATTAAAAAGAAACATTTTAATTAATATGTGGGGAGTTCAGTTTAACTAGAGCTGTGTATATTGAAGCTTTTTGCAAATTTTGCAAGATTGAGACAATAAAGACTAGTTTTGCAAACATTTGTATAGCTTCAAATGCTAAATAGGCTTTATGAAAAAGCTGCCATGTTCTATGTAGGATTCTTGTTGTATGGATGTGATAAAATGTGAATATAGAAAGAAAAATATGAGAGAAAAAGCTGATAAACATTTTGAAGCTTCAGACATGTTTTTCAATGTATCTGCATTTGTTTATTTCCTATAATAATGTAGCCTTGAAAAAATTTTGGAAGCCCTGACTACAGCAGCAGAAGAGAGAAATATTGATAGATTTCGTCCCATTGTGGAAGGCCTTCAGGGGAATTCAGTACATTTGCAAGTAAATAACATTTTTCTGTGGCATTTTATAGTAAATAACTGCAGCCTATCAACTTTGTGTTTACCTTAGGAGGTGGGAACCCTGGTATTTTCTGTATTCAATATGCAGATGGGTAGGCAGAGAAAAATCCTACAGAGACGACTATTGACTTTGTACAGCTGCTTATTTTCCTGTTAATGTCTGTTTATATTAACAGTATAGTCAGTTTAAATGTGTAAGCATAAGAAGCATATTTTGTTCTTATAAGGCTCAATGAATATTATTTCCTGAGAAAATTACCGTATTTTTCGCTCCATAAGATGCACCTCTCCATAAGACACACCTCATTTTTAGGGGAGGAAAACAGGAAAAAAATATTCTGACAGTGCCATCTCTAGGCACTGATTCTCTAACCTTCTTTAAATTCAAAGGAAGGGAACAGGATAAGGCTGTTATTTATCCATAGGGTCTCTAATCATCTCCATGAGGTGCTTCCCTCTGTAAGGTCTACAAACTCTTCCAGAAATTAAGAAAGATGGGAGTGTGGGATGAGGAAGGAAGGAAGTTAAAGTCCTACTGGTTGGTAAGGATACAGGGAAGAGAGTGAGCAGATGAAAATGCATCAGACTGGCAAAAGACCAGTGAGAATGAAAAAAGTGTGTGTGTGGAGATCTCAGCTCAGAATGTGATACACTTATGGACAAAATCCATCATTTTTAGAGGTTCATGAAAATAAAGGCAGAGTGGTTGTTATGGGCAAAAATAATAAATGACTGATAATGTTCGGTCTGTAAGTTGGGTATTGAGTCTAAATGTATGCTATGGCAAGTACAAGACAGAATTTGATACAAAGAACAATGTCAATCAAAGGGCTTCCTGCGGTTTCCAGGTAACAAGTGGCATAGATCCTACATGGCAAGGAGCCATGGCATAACTAGTCTTCTATGAGTCTGACTAATTCCATGAATCTGGCTAATCTTCTCTATAGCCACCTATGTTAGTGGCTTAGCTCACCCCATGTGAATTGATAGATGGTTCTCCTGCTTTCCTGAAAACCTGCCTAGCATTTGTATTTCATAATGCAATGGCAGTACAGTATTGGCAAGCATTTAAGGTTATAAAGGGCCCACGAGGTTGGGGGTGGGGGTAACCCTCCAAGGGTCTGAGAGTGCCATCCAGGACCCTTGGGAGGTTCCCCCACCCCCATGGGGCCAGCGGGGGTGAAATCGGCAGCTTCCAGGACCTTTCTGGGGCTTGAAAAGGACCTTTCTGAGGCTTGAAAAGCCTCAGAAAGGTCCTGGAACTGGCTATTTCGCCCCCGCTGGCCCTATGAGGGGTGGAGGAGCCTCCAAAGGGTCCTGGAAGGCACTCTCAGACCCTTCTGGGGCTCCCTCCACCATCCCCCTGCTGGGCCCCGGTGAAGTGCTTTTACAGTATTCGCTCCATAAGACGCACAGACTTCCCCCCACTTTTGGGGGTAAAAATGTGTCTCTTATAGAGCAAAAAATATGGTATATCCAACAGTGATGGATTTCTCTATTTAGTTACAGAGTTCAGGTGTCTTAAACTGCTGTATTTATTTATTTATTTATTTGCTGATTTATTTATTTGTTTATTTGATTTATACCCTGCCTATCTGGTCTACTCGACTGCTCTAGGCGGCTTCCAGTATAGGATAAAACAATAAAATGCAAGAACATTACATAATTATTTGATACAGTTACAATAAAATAGAGTGAGAATAAAATAAGAAGGAATAGAAAAGAAATCAGGTATTGACTGGAGGGAAGGCCTGGATGTACAACCATATTTTTAATTGGGTTTTGAAGATTCCCAGCGTAGGGGCCACACTAATCTCTGAAGGGAGGTTGTTCCAGAGGCGAGGATCCATCGCCGAGAAGGCCCGGTTTCGTGTCTTTTCCTTCCGGGCCTCTCAGCATCAGGCGCCTCAGCCTCCCCTCCTGACTTGTGCGGGTGATCCGGGTAGACCCTGGTGGGAGCAGGCGTTCCGCCAAATAGCGAGGTCCTAAACCATTTAGGGCCTTGTGTAAAACTCCCAGCCAGGGGCAGGAGGCTTATGTAGGAGTGTCATTGCTCTGAGTCCAATCTAAAGAGACCCAGACTTCTCCCCCACCTTCTCCGCCTAGAAAGGAAAGCAAGGAGGTGGACACCACAGAATTGGAGGAGTTAAATAAAGGAAAGGGACAGAGACATCAAGGGGTAGACACCCGGGATTTGGTACAAGAAATGAAAGGGTTAAATATGTCAACGGCGGTGGGTGGAGTTCTGGTGGGAAAAGGAAGGGCGACGATAGAGGTGGGGGCGGGGGATATAAGGGCCAGGCAGGAAGAAATCCCATGCGGTTGGAAAATGATTTGGGTCCAGTATCCCTGGACAGGAAAATGGGAGCAGGTTAAGGTACCACACAAGGAAGCTGAAAGACGCCGACACCAGGGGTTACAGCCTCACCCTTCTTATTGGGGAGAAACGGAAGCGAAGGAGTGGCGGCGACATCTACAAGAAGAGAGGGAGGCCAGGGGGAGAGAGTTGGAGAATAAGAAGGCATGGCATCTTGCAGAGCTCCAGAAGATGGGGGTCTACCCGGACCATGGCTGGCCAGTCCGGGAGAGGGCTCACCATTCTGGGGGTGGAGCGGTGATGAGGAGACCCTACCACTCCTAGGTCCTGAAGGAGAAGGAGGTGAACCGCTGGTCTCAGAGAAGATATCAGGACCGTGGGACTTTGAAGAAACTAACCCTTTCGTTTCTAATGTTTGGACACCCTTGCCGTCAAGGTTCAGACTGCAAGAGACATTAAACCGCCTAGAGTGGTCCTAATCTCCTACCTACCTACCTACCTACCTACCTACCTACCTACCTACCTACCTACCTACCTACCTACCTACCTACCTACCTACCTACCTACCTACCTACCTACCTACCTACCTACCTACCTACCTACCTACCTACCTACCTACCTACCTACCTACCTACCTACCTACCTACCTACCTACCTACCTACCTACCTACCTACCTACCTACCTACCTACCTACCTACCTACCTACCTACCTACCTAGTTCAGAAGCTGGACAGTGTCTGCGAAGCAACCAACATGAATTTGACACAACTCCGGGAGGCAGTGGAAGATAGGAGGGCCTGGCGTGCTCTGGTCCATGGGGTCACGAAGAGTCGGACACAACTAAACGACTAAACGACGACGAGTTCAGAAGCAAGTTGATGTTAATGTTGAGCTGTTAATAAATGAGAACAATGTTGAAGAATTAAATCAGTCTCAATCTTTATTGGGTGTGACAGAAGACCCTAAAATCGAACCCTCACATATTGGCTCCCAACTTGGCGGGCAGTCACACTGACACACCGTTGCAGACAAGTGGATACGACAGATAACGGAGGGCCAAGAATTATTGATTTAGCAGCTAGCCGATCAACAACGTCTAATTATAGAACAGTTACAGAAAACACAACTGGTCACGATCCTGTCGCCAACTTTGTCAGACCTGAAGGCACCCATTGCGATGAGGCCGCCCATTAAGTTACAAAATATGGAACCACAAGATGATCTGTCAGCATTCCTAAACACTTTCGAAAGGGTCACGACGTCGGCACAATGGCCTAAAGAACAGTGGGCGTTAACTGTAACTCCATATTCAACAGGGTAACCCCAGGAAATAGTAGACACCCTGGATCCAGAAGATGCAGGAGACTACGGGAAGGTGAAAACAGCCATATTAAATATGCTTAATTTAAATGAAGAAGCGTATCAGCGACGGTTTAGAGAATTGAAATTGAAGCCAGGGTTACACCCAAGGACTCTGGCCCAGAAAATGAGGGTGAATGCCACAAGATGGATACAACCTAAAGGCAAAACAGCGGAGCAGGTGTTAGAGCTGGTAATCCTGGAACAACTGATATCAGTGTTAAGCTCGGGGCCCCGCAATTGAGTCATGAAGCACAAACCCATCAGTGTAGAGGGCGCTGTTACTTTACTAGAGGACTATCTAGGAGTCGAAGACATGTGGCAGACTCGACCTACAATGCAGGGAGAGAGACCACGCTACAAAGAGAAAATGGCGGAGGCAACAAACTTAGGAGCTCCACGTGGTGCTTCCATCCCGAGCATGAAGAAACCGGGACCTGACCGGATAGAGTTCGTGAATCCGACAGGCACATGAATACCGCGCCTGACTATTACTACCGACCCGGCGAAGAGCAAGCTGGCGCCCACCTGGAAATCGGGTAAAGAAAAGATGTCCGCGTGTTTCAGCTGCGGCCAGTTCGGACACATTAAAAAATTCTGCCCAGCAGAGGAATGCACATGGAGCAACATCTATGCAAATATGGCTAAGGTGGGTGAAAGGAACCACCTGGGTTGGGTAGTAATGGCAGGGTAAATGTAAGCCGCCCAGAGACCTTTGGGTAGTGTGGGCGGCATATAAATTAAATAAATAATAAATAAATAATAAATTGACAAAAGAAATGGGCCCTCATAGATACAGGGTGCACCCGAACTCTAGTAAAAGAAATGGAGGGGCATCGCCTCCCAGAGACTGTGGTAATTAAATGCATCCATGGAGACTCTAAGGAATATGAAACAGCTAAAGCGGACGTGATCATAGGGGATCATAAGGCCGAACTAGCGGTGGGGTAGTCCCTGGACTCTAGGGAGATGTTATTGGGCAGAGATTGGCCAGGCCTAGAAGACCTCGCCAGAAGGCTGGAAGACAGTTTTGTGGGGAGAAAAGACAATTGGGAAAGAAAGGCAGAAGTTATGCAACTCTTTAGGGACCAGCTGCGGAACCTGCAGCAAGATGACCCGAGCTTAAAGGAGTTACTGCAAGCGGCGGTCCGGTAAGGAGAGTCAAAGGAGGATGAAGCGAAATTTGAAATGCGTAAGGGGTTACTATATTATGTCCGCAAACACGCAGAGAAAGAAACGCTTTTGGTAGTGCCGAGCCATTTGAGGGTATGGGTTGTGCATTGGGCCCACGACTTGCCAATTG